CACTAGCTAATAATACGGGTAATAATATATTTTGGTTATGCTTCGTTGGTGATAGGTTTATTTTTTGTACTTTCCGTTTCAATACATCTATTAAGTAGGTGCGACTGTGCGTGTCGCGTAAATTCTAGCCGCCATTCAGTCTCCCCTATTGCAAAAATCATACCGACTAGTTCGTCTTTTTCGAAATTCATGTTGACTTTTACCACGAAACGGAGATACGCACTTTTGCAGCAATAACTGCCATGCACTAATATCATCAGAACGTTTTTTAGCTTTCTTAACATTTAAAAGATTTTTTTACAGCGTCAGTTTTTTAAATTTAAAATACTTAATTTTCGAGTTTTGACAAAAAAATTTACCTCCAATATCACAATGACACTTAGGTACTTACATTTTGACCGTTTTTTGCCTTGGCACGGCCTACTTGCATAGAAAAGTAATTAAATGGTTACTTTTTTAAAATAAATTGAATATATCAACAACCATGGAGTCTAGACATAAGATATGCCTCATTAAATTAAATAGAAAAAAAGACCTAGGTCTTTAATAGCTATTAAATGGTGACATACAATTGACATTTGAAAAAAAATAATTAAATTACTTTGAAATTTAAGAGTTTTGTCATTTTTTTCTGAACTAAATTCAAATTTATTTTTTCTTTTCAAAAAACGACGTCGCTAGGAATTTTTAAAGTTGAGCTTACTCAGGAAAGGATTTTGGTGAAAAAAATTATGAGTTGGCAACAGTTGGTTAAATAATTAAAAATTGAATGTAGAAGTAAAAAATGTCATCGGAAAAATACAGGGTGTTTCATTTAAAAAATTGTTTGTTTTTGTTATGCCTCAAAAATGGGGACCCTGTATTATTGAAAATAATTTCGCAGAATCAATAATTTTTTGTACAAAGCTTGTTTCTATTTTTTACGGGAAAGGTGCTAGGAAAGCCCGATGCACTGTTGCAGGACCCTGTATAAATATGTTTTCTTGTATGTACATCTCGGTGTCCTTTTAATTGAAAGGTCAAGACGTATCTGATTTTTTTTTCACCATTTGATCAAAAATCCCTTACAAGACAATATTCTTGTGAGATAAACTCAATCCTCTTGGCACTTTATTAGAAAAAAATAATTTTTAATTTTTTTTTATTATTTTTAATTATTTATTTTTAAAAAATGTTAATTTGGAGTATGCCAGAAAGTTCTTGAATATATCAAATTAAACACATTTTATATTGTTTTTTTACATTAAACAAACTTTCTTTAATATAACAAATAAATATATAAACATAAATACAGTAATCAGCTCATTAAATTAAAAATTAAAGTGTTTTTACATATTTTTTGAGGTTATTTTACTTATGCATTTCTTAATTGTGGTTGTCTTAGGTACATCTTACAAATGTTGACTATTGTATTCCTTTAAAGTATTAAATAGATGATCAGCATACCTTTTGTGACTTTTCTTAAGTTTTTACTTCTTCCAGGTTTTCTCAAAGTCTGCATGAACAGCTTCACTCGCCTGTTCACTATAAAATCCGAGTCCTTTTTTAGTTTTATTGCATAAATATTCTATGTGGTGAAATACTGCGTGTATGTTTGATGTTATACTGATATTTAAATCACAGTAACTTGCTCGAATTTTTTTTAAGTAGATTCTAAATTTAGGATTTAGAGAAACTGTAAAACAAGATTCAACCACATAGCGAAAGTCTTGAAGACATTTTACAAATTTCAAACACTGAATATTTGTACTTGATCTCAGATTTCTTTTAAAAGAGTTTTGCAAGCATTTCCTGCAAATGACGATTGACCGCGATATATTTCCCGTTCGACATTACACTTCTTTACCCATTCAAGACTTTCGTTCTCAATTTCAATCAACAGTTGAATATAAATATAATTCACTACACAATTAATAAATGGAGTTCAGGAGGAGGAATGATGTCGATTATCTCTCGATTGTCTTCTTAACCATTCGTTGAAAAAATAGGAGCATGGATACAATTTTTGGAAGTTTTTAGCAGTTTTATTTGAACTTCCAGAATGTTTCCAGTTTTCATAGTTTTTTATGCAGCTTTTAACAGTTCGATATTTTCCACATTTTTCCAGATTATGCATAGAAGCTTCGCACCAAGTACACGAGAAAGAACTTGAATGGGGCATTAATCCAGCCAAAATATTGGCCAGTTTTAAATCAGTAGCAATCGTTGCTGAGTTAAAGCTGTTTTTATTTTTATAAGAGACCACATCGCTGCCACGTTATCAGAATTTTCGTCAGATGATCGTACCAAACCCATTACAAATAATTTTTTAACTCCGCAACCTTTGAATTTTTTCGCTTCTACAACATCATCGTAATGTCTTTTTTCCACTGTATGATCATTGATTTCATCAATATTTTGCAAAGATAAGCACACTTTAATAAATCCACCACCCCCATCTATTCCATATTTAAGACAGATTTGGTCATCATTAACATTTCTATATTCTTTACCGAATTGTATTAATCCTTTCAAATTATTATTAAAAATATACTTGCTTTCCCAAACCTTCCATAATTTTCGAGTAACGTAAAACATGAGTTCTTGGAAAAATAAAACAAAAGGAACGCATTGGTAATAAGTGTGATTTTGGATTGCTTCTTTAGAACCTATACCATAAGGTCCTACACCTGGATGTGGTATGGCGAAAGAGTCTACCATTTTTGATCATGATGTTTATTCTATGTTAAAACACAATAAATTACATTTTCAAAGTAGTCTTGATTATTATTTTTTTTATTAATATTTACAAATATTAAATTTTTCACATTAAACAAAATATCTAGTAAATGATTTTTATTCTGTAATTCATCTCTTACTTGTGGTTCGAATAAATCTTTGGTTGCAGCTCGAAGTAATGCAGTCATTTTAATCGTGGTATTAGTTGACAAAGAAAGAAGCGTCTGATTTTTTTGTACAGAGTCACTTGATATTTGACGACGTTTTAAATTTCGTTTACTTTTACTACCAACATCATTCAAAGAAACTTTTAAAGGCATACCTTTTACTTGACTTAAAGTGATCTTGTTATTACAAACATTTTATGACCGATTCTCTACTCCTCTCTTTCTTTTTTCTTTTTTTAAAAGCTGCGATAGTAACTGCGGCTGATGTTTCGGACTTAAGGTTTCACTAATATCCTTTTCAATATTTTCTACTTTTACTCCAGGTTTATATTTATGTTTTTTACCGCGGCCACCAACATTACTTGACAAACATTTAAAACATTTTCTCACCACACGCTTTTTTCTTTTTTAATGGGCTTATTTTTAGCACTTTTTATAAAATTATACCCACAGCGAGATCGTCCAATTTCACATAAGTTACCTAGGCACTTTTTACTAGATCTTGTATTAACTTTTTTAAATTTCCAATTAGAAAAATCAGGCAAATTTAAGGTGTTTCTACAGGGTCCGGCTACAGAATTGAACGGTTTTAAAAATGCTGCTATGGAAATACTCTTGATTTGATATATGTCAAATAGTGAAAGACTTATACCTTATTGCCGAAAGTTTCGTGGCTGCTATGGAAATACTACATATTGATTTAATATATGTCAAAAAGTGACAGACTTCTTCCTTATTGCCGAAAGTTTCGTGTACAATGCCAATTAAAATTATCAATGGGATTTAGCCTCTGGACTGTCGGTTTTTTGGATGGAGTTTTAAATCCAGATGTAACATTCGTCGCAAACTTCGGTCTGAAATGTGTAGAGCAATCGAGTGCCGCTCAAACGCTTCTCTGACTCTTCCAATATTTTCTTGTGTACAAACTGTACGAGTTCCAGCGGCAAATTTTGATTTTACACTGCCTCTTTTGTTAAAATCTCTTACCCTTCTCAAAATGGCATTTTTTATGGGACTTCAGCTTGCACTGGAAAATTATATTCACGACGAAAGCGTCTCTGCGTTTGTACGAAGGACTGGGTCAGGGTAAACGAATTTACAGCAAAGATCCGTTGATTAACCGGCCAGTTTGACATTGCACACGAAACCTTCGGCAATAAGGTATACGTCTGTCATTATTTGACATATACCAAATCAATAGTATTTCCATAGCAGACTTTTCAAAACCGTTCAATTCTGATGCCGGACCCTGTATAAATTTCTTGTTTAGCTGTTTTATATAACAAAATTTCACAACCTTTGCATACAACTTTTGGTAATCGTTCATCTTCTACATCATATACTACTATGCTTTGAACTTTTTTTTTTTTTTAAGAGAAAACAAACAAATTCTCTTGCGATTATCCGAGTCAGTGAGTCCAGCATGGTTTTTATTAGCTTCATTGCACTATATACTACAATCAATGCAAATATAATTATTTATATCTAATTTATTAATAAATCGACGACAAATTGAAAAAAAAGGTAAAATAACGCAACGGTATTTTCAATCACGATTTCGACATGTGACAAGTGACATATGTTAATAGTTCACTAGTCTAATAAATTGCACATTTTATGTAACAATTACATTAAAAGCTGTTAGTCATTATTTGGAGTTCACTAATTAAAAATCTCAAAAAATTTATTAAAAATCATTAATGTTATTATAAAAATTGATTTTTCTAAAAAAGTGCCGAGCGAATTGATTTTATCTTGAAAAAAAAATGTCTTGTAAGTGATTTTTTATCAAAATATGAAAAAAAATCGGATACGTCTAAACCTTTCAATTAAAAGTTACACTGTGACATTTATGTCGGTATTATAGATAACCACTTATTTAGAACTTATTAAATTTAAAAAAATGGGCATTATTGATTTTATGAAACAATGTTTGTTTGTTACAATATTTAATATAAACGCTAAAATTAGAGGCTTCAATCGATTTCAATTTGTATCATCATTAAAATTGTCTACTAATTATTGTGCCTAAGGGGTTTATCTTAATTGAGCAAGATTGGTCACATGTTTATAATTATTTTTATTATATGTTTTAGAAGTAAAAAATATACTTGCCTTCCCAAACCTTCCATAATTTTCGAGTAACGTAAAACATGAGTGCTTGGAAAAATAAAACAAAAGGAACCCATTGGTAATAAGTGTGATTTTGGATTGCTTCTTTAGAACCTATACCATAAGGTCCTACACCTGGATGTGGTATGGCGAAAGAGTCTACCATTTTTGCATCATGATGTTTATTCTATGTTAAAACACAAAAAAACTTAAAATCTTAATCTTATCTACTTTAAAGTTACTTACCACAGTAAAAGTTGACATAAAAAAACAATACGTATTTATTACATTTTCTGCTATTGACTTATCGGTCAGACATCGTATGTGTTCACCAATGTATTGTCTAGAAGTAACCAATACGGAACATACGAGCAAAATTGCTACTGTTACCCTGTAGTGTAATTTAAAAACAATGTTATCTATATCCACTGAATGTGGTTTAAATGGTCCAAATTTTTTGATGCTGTCAAAGGTATTCAGAAAAGACATGCTTTTTTCACACTAAAACAAAAATAGTATATTAAAGTACAAGTTGCAGAAGGCCACATGACGAACGAATGAGTGCGAGAATAGCCTTCTGCAACGTGTGATTTATACTATTTTCTCGATTTTAACTTTTATTTAGGTTTTTTTAATTGTTTTGTGGTCGTTGTTAGTTAGGAGATTTTTCTCGCAAAATGTCAGTTGGCAACACAAAATGACAATATTTGTTATCCTGCACAAGTACAACCTGAACTGCACTTTTACACATTAAACTTAAAATTTTGCATTAAAATGCATTGTTGGAGCAAACTTTATATTACAAAACAATAATAAAGGCTTCATTTTCAATAAAAGTAATGAATTTGAGGTTATTAATCAGTTTGACATTTTGGGGGTACCAATACTTAAAAACTAAATGTTACCAAAAATCGTTTAAGAATGAGCTTCATTCTTCAACGATTTTGCGTGCGAGAATATGACATTCTTACATAAAAATCGAGAAACATTATTTTTATACTTCTATTCACAATCCACACAACAAGGTCTGTTCGATCTCGTACTAAAAATACTAAAAATCACTGCAACACTGCACATCATTTAATGGCGGCCATTTTTGTTGTTTACAATTCTTGTGCTTTGGGTTTGTACAGATTAATAATCGTTTTAAACGTTGTGTTTCTTACAGAAAGACTTGGTAAGAACAATCATTTTACTCCCCTTTTGTAAAAAATAAACCTTATTCTATCAGGGTTGTCAAATGTCAATTTGAAGGTTATTTTATAACCCACAAAATAACCTTAAAATAGACATTTGACAGCCCTGATAGAATAAGGTTTATTTTTTACAAAAGAGGAGTAAAATAAGTGTTCTTACCACTTTGAGGTCTCTTTTAAGGCTTGCAAGTCTCTCTGTAAAAAAACAACGTTTAAAACGATTATTAATCTGTACAAACCCAAAGGACAAGAATTGTAAACAACAAAAATGGCCGCCATTAAATGATGTGCAGTGTTGCAGTGATTTTTAGTACTTTTAGTACGAGATCAAACAGACCTTTTTGTGTGGATTGTGCTTTTATTATTGATATTTTTTGAGTTTTTCCGTAACCATTATATACTTTCTAACAACGGGAATAATTAATATTCACGTTGTTAGGCAACAGTGATTGGCCGATTTCAACTAATTTCACTCCAATTTGAAGCAATCAAGTTTTAAATTGGGAAAAAATGAGGATGAAACTGAATGAAGATGTCAGATTTTTATATATACGAGGGCGACTATAATGATCTTTAAAATCGGGAGAAAGTCAGGTTATAATAAATTTTGTTACTAATGAAAATTACTTATTCAGACGTATATCTGTTCGCTCCTCTAAAGATGAACAAATAAATTGAATTGAATTTTAAATCCAGAATACCTAAAAGGTAATTATTCTACAAGGTTTCAGTCAACAATAAACTTCTGCGAATCCCAATGTGCTTAAACAACTCACTGACCAGGATTAAAGTGCAAAGTGTTACCCCACCTGTCGGAGTCATCATTGTGGGGGGAACCTGAAAGAGATCAATCACGAAGGGACATGGGGTTATCTGCGGAATACGGATAAGTATCTTAATAATATTTGCACGACACTATTCTTAATACTAAAAACTTGTAATTTCGAAATTCTCTAAGCTTACCAAGCATTCGGGTGGGTTTCTCACATAGAAAAATTTATAGAAATAACAAAAATATATTTAAAAAAATAATAAAAAAAGTGAACAGGGAATAATGAAACAACATTTGAATAGAGCAAAGAATACCTAATGCCTATTCAGTAAAGCAAGTTCGACTTAAAATTAAACAAGCATATCTAACCAAAGGACGTAACTTTAAAAAGTATTAATACATAAATCTAAAGAAGGTAAATACTCTAAACCATTTTATGATCTTTGCCTAACATAAACATAAACATAATAATCCAATTGACACCTCTAATATTGAATACAAAATAATATAAATACAACTTTTTAATTGTTAAAAAGAAATAATAGAAAACGTAATAAAATTTCTACCACAAAACGTAGACAACGGAACGCTCGGGCAACAAATTAACAAAAAATTAATAGATAATTTTTGCATTACTTTGGTGATAAAAATTTAAAACAACATCAAAAACTATCAATAATTATCGATAGTTACATTGCCGACTATTAAAAACTATCTTCAATAGTTATCGACCTCTAAACTGAAGAAAAGGTTTCGTACAGTGGGGCAAACAATTTGTGTACCTACAGCAGTTTCCAAAGGACGCAGACTAAGCAAGCAGGCCCCAGCAGCGTACTAACCAACCATTCATGACCACAATTAAAGGAGGATATTACTAAATTCCTGGTTAAGGGGGATTCCGGATTGTACTTAGTTTTGAGTCAGTTAAATGTCCCCCTATGATTCATAGGTTATATTAATAGCAAATTAGAAATAATTATAAGCGTTACAATTATTTCAAATGACTTGCCTTTATTTTAAAATAGAAACATTTTAAAAGATGTTGAAGAACAGTAAATGTTTAAAACCAGATCAAATTTTAAAATTTGAGCTTATTTAAATAAGGTTAAGACAAAAAACTATGAAAACGAAAATTAAATGTCCAATCTAATGCTAATACGGAAATAGGTGAAAATAGTAAAGGGATAACGCGTGGGACGAACGATTTTCTGTTTAAAACTAGACGTTCTATTACATGCGGTGAAGGCTAAAAAATAGACCTTGCGTTGGTCCCGCTTAAATAAGTGCCCCCGCAGTTTTTTGCCCCGGTCCCCAAAATACCTATGTGCGCCCCTGCATTATCAAACTTTAAATCATACATGATAAAACTTCATATTTGCTACACCGCGGTCTATGTATACTCTCTAAAAAATGTTTTGAGTTTTTAAATTAGATATGGGGATGTCCCCGGTTGTGTGGGATATAACCCCGTTGAAATTTTTTGCCGAAGAAAGAATTTTAATTTGAAACAAAAAGATTATAGAACATAAGACCAATATAAATTTAAAACGTAAGGCCATTTATTTATAGTAAGCCTTAAACAAGTTAGCAAATGGATCTAAATGAAATAGTTATTTGTTTTACAAGTTTTGAAAAGCGACTTTTTCATGCGAGTGTTTTAGTTGCTTACGAGGCCGTTAGGCCGAGTGTGCATTAACACGAGCTTGAAGAAAGCTTTTCTTACAAGTAAAACACAATGTTTTTTCTACGACCCTTTTATTTTTTATTATATTCAATTACAAAACAAAATAACCTAAAAACGTGTTTAACAGCTCTGTTAAAATTACTTTCATCTTATTCTTTTAATTTTTAACGTATAAGTTACTTAAAATCAATAAACTTACCTTCTCAATTTAAATAAAGGCACTAAATATTAGAATTTATTATACAAACACAATTAATTGTGTTCAAAATAATATTTACAAATACAATACAAATTTTGAAACGAATGTCAAACGATGCTGTCAATTTCTTTTCACACAGACCTGTCACTTTTCACACAGAAATGTCACTTTACATTCGTGTTTTGCCTTGCCAATGAAAAGATTCATTTTCTAAGCAACGTGTAACGATACACATTACGACATCTATGAGACGATTTTCCTACTATCCGACGTCAAGGAAAGAGTTGGACTACCAGAAACCTGCAGTTAGACGGAACTCTAACAGATGGCGCTTGGACAGCTGTCAACCGCATATATGTTGTCAACACTTGTTGCACACGGCCCATGTGAAGGATTTATTTCACACGGCCCCAATTGTTTTTCATCAAGCCTGTCATCAGAATTCCGTCTATAAAACCGCTGCATTTTTCAATGGACAATCAGTCGTCTGGTGGCTCAATTCCAAATGGTGTTACCAATTGTGAGCCCGAAAACCAACCACTCACTCATAGAGAACTCTCAGTGGAATATTAACAGTAAGTTAACCTGTTTTTAATATCTCAGGGCTTTAAGCCGTATAATAAATATTAAGCTTTAATATCAGAGTTAATTAAACTGTAAATCCTGTATGCATAAAACATAAACTAACAACATGTATTTTTCCACTAGAGTCCAATTGCAAATCTGCCCTGTCTCTCTGTAGGACTGAAAACTACGCCCGTGCCTGCCAGTTGCCTGTGAAAAGCCCTGGAACATTTGCCTGTCCTGACTAAAGGCTATGAAAGAACCTTTGTGTTCATGGTCTACGATACTTTTGTAATATAATTTTGTACATACTTTTACCTTGGTAAATAAACCACGAAAAACCACGAAAACGAAACGGTGCCAAACGATAACCAACATCACCTATAGCCAAGCTATCGAGATCAGAAATGTGATTTATGACATGCATGCTCACAGTGAGTTATTCTTCTTGTGTTATACCAATTGATTTCTATGAGACATTTTTAAAGCAGCACATTACACTACAGACATTGCTGGGCCCGCTTAAGGGAACGCTATCTGTTTGAGGGCACTGTTAGGTCATTGGGCCGAGTTCTGAAAAATATTGGCTTCCGTTTCAAGAGGGACGAGACACGGCGTGGACCGATGGAGCTTCCCCGGACCTACGGACTACGGACCAAATTCCTTAAGTCATACATAACCAACCGGCGCTCAGACCGCCCTCTGCAGTTTCTATTTCTTGACGAAACGTGGATTTTTGAGAACGGAACGAACACCACGTTCTCCTAGCAGGATCTCAGCCACAAAAGTGTTCGCCGATTAAAGGTCGATGGACCACGGTAAGAACGTAAAACATGAACATGCGGCCAACCTAACCATAATTGCTTGCAGCTCATATTCGCCTCGAAATCCAAAACCGGGGATTATCATGGTGACTTGAACGAGGCGAATTTTCTGAAGTGGTTCGAGTACCAACTTTTACAGCTGCTAAAACAAACATCCATCATTGGATAACGCCAGCTACCACTCGACCCTGGTGTCGAAAGACCCGAGCTGTATTTGGCGAAAGGCTGAATTACAGCAGTGGCTAACTGAAAAGGGAATCCC